TATACAGCTTTTATAAAGGACCTCTGAGAATAAAGTTGACAAAATAATTGGCTCCAAAATGTTTCAAAGAGCTGGACAGAACCAACGAGGTCATCTTGTCCAGTAACTTCATCGATAAAGAAGAAAGTCATCATAAAAGCCTCATTGAACCCAATGAAGAATCAGCAACTAAAACTCCTGAATTAGGATTTCAAGTCCAGTCTGGTTGCTGGAATGCTGGTTATCTCTTAATGAATAACTCATGCCTATCATAGTGCTTCTTAAGCTTACCGTCCCTGATACCTGTGTGTTCTTTTGCCTTTCTACTTAGCTTCAAGCTTTAAATAATTTACTTTACGAAGCTAAGAGAGTCACTATTAGATCATAATTAAGCCATCGTTGAGCAACTCTTTATTCATGACATAAAGGGTCTTTCCTAATACTGTTCTGTGATTGGCCTAGTTGACCCACAGTAGTATGTTGAAAGGGGCACATGAGTAATGGTGCTTCATCTCTTCTCTGGAGTGAGCACACCTGATGATAGAATTACCAGAGGCAAATGTGACGCATGAAGGTGCTTAGGTACTTTTGAAAATATATTTCATGTTTTATCTGCTTAGACACAGTTTATGGCTGACATTTCTTATCTTACTTAAAGTACCCTGTGTTTTCTTAATTTTGTTACTTCTTGCCATCCCTATAATCGTTCTAATATTTAGCATCATATTTAATTCAAGCCACCTGTTTGCACAGACGGCAGCTTGCTCACTTTTATGCAAGAGCTAAAGATCTGGAACTAAAGAAACACAAGAGTTAAACTGTCGCTTTTCTTTGCTTCTCCAAGTTTAAAGTGGGTTAAAGCATCTGAGAGAACAGATGTCTCTCCTTAAGCATTTTGTTTCACCATTTTTTTCTCCCACAATTTCTTAGAAAACATGCTATGAGATTCTTTGCACTGAACATTATGTTTCTGTTTCAAAAAGATGAGCTTTCTGGCTCTTCTTCCTAATATGACACTTATTGTACACATCATTAAGCAGATAAGAACCACAATCTGCAGATCCTGCCTCACTTCACCTGCATTCTAACTCCATAACATTTGCTTTTGAGCACAGCTGGAAGCACAAATATGATAAAAGGATAGATAGCTGTCTTCACAGATACAGATATGATATAGAGAATCACCATTTTTGTTCCTATCAAGGTGTTCTGATAGAACAAACAAGTAACACTATAATGAACGCATTTTTTCAATCTCAATAAACTACTTGTTCAGTGTTTACCATGTCCCTGGGAAGTATGAAGGAGTAGGGCAAAAGGTACCTATAACCTAATCAGTAAGAAAAAAAATAAAGTTATGCAGCACATTGAGAGAAAACAGCCATTTCTTAACACCTACAATGGGAAGGACATTTTGTTAGACACTTATCTCATTTAATTCTCACATTAATGAACCTTTTTACATAAAGAAAATTGAACTCCAGGGAACTTAATAAACTGAACAAATACCATACAATTAAGAAAAAAGCGGAGCCAGCATTACAGTGGGCGACAGACTTTAAATACAATCTGGAAGTGAAAGTTCTATAGCTGCCCCAGGGGATGCTGCTACTTGGTCTCCACCCTCTTCTATCACTCACCCTACCTGGTTATGACCTGCAGTACCCAGACGCTGGAGTTGAAGGGGTAGCTCCCGTCATTCCTTGTAGTACCAGAATTTGTTCTGTTAGGGGAAATAACTGAGGTGTGAACATGGCAAATTCAGGTGTATATGCATTCATGTCTCCTCTGCAGAGTACGTGCTACTGTTTGTTTCAGCCTTGTCAGTCAGTTCATAAATGTGAGAAACTATGGTAGCAGCACAGCATCATATGGCTAAAAGTGGAGCAACTCTACTAGACTGATGCAGACCCACTTTTGAACCTCAGCAATTACGGAGTGATGACTTTTGAAGGGTCAAAGAAGGCCATAAAGCTGGAGCAGATTTGATTAAGTCCTCTTGGTCTTATGCGAGACCATAGATTATCATATCAGAAATTTATATCTAGGCTTTTTTATTTAAAATTAAACATGTGTCTTTTTTCCTCATTTTTTACTTGTAGTAAATGGCACACAATATAAAATTTACTATTTATCATCTTAACCATTTTAAGTTTTCAATTGAACAATATTAAGTACATTCATACTGTTGGATAATCATTGCCACCATCTATCTCCAGAACCCCTTTCATCTTGCAAAACTGAAAATCTGTACCTATTAAACGATAACTCTTCGTTCATTACCCTACTTCTTGGAAACCATTATTTTACTTTCTGTGTCTATGATTTTGACTAAGTACCTCATATAAACAAAGTCACACAGTGTTTGTCTACTTGCGACAGGCTTATTCCACTTAGCATACTGTGCTGAAGGTTCATCCCTGTTGTAGCGTATGTCAGAATTTCCTTCCTTTCTAAGGATGAGTAACATCCCATTTATGTATGTACCGCATTTTGATTATCCAATTCATCCACCAATGGCTGCTTCCACATTTTAGCTTTTGTGAGTAATGCTGCTATGAATAGAGGTACATAAAATCCCTTTTGACCCTGCATTCAATTCATTTGCACGTTTATCCAGAAGAATAATTTCTAGATTATACAGTAATTTAATTACTGTATTTAATTTTGTGAGGAAATTTCACATTGTTTTCCACAGCAGCTATATTTTACATTCCCACCAACAGTGTATAAGACTTTCAGTTTCTCCACATCATCACCAAATATTATTTTCCATTTACTTTCTTTTTGATAGTATGCATCATAGTGCATAGTGCAATCATGTGGCATCGGGCTGTGGTTTTAACTTGCATTTTCCTAATGATTAGTGACACTGAGCATCTTTTTATGTGATTATTGGATATTTGCATATCTCTTTGGAAAAATTTCATGTGACTCTTTTGTCCATTTATTAATTATGTTGTTTGTTTTGTTATTCTTGTTGAGTTGTAGGCATTTCCTATATGTTCTGGATATTAATCCCTTACTATAGATATGACTTGCAAATATTTCTTCCAAATCTATGGATTACCTTATGGCTCTGTGGATGGTGTCTTTTGATGCACACTTTAAAAAAAAAATTATAAGTTCAATTTGTATATTTTTTCTTGTGGTGTCTGTGCATTTGGTGTCATATCCAAGAAACATTGCTAAATGTTTCTTAAAGCCAATGTCTTAAGGCTTTTGCGCTTCTTTCTTCTAAAAGTTTTAGTTTTAGGTTTAACACTTATGTGATAAATTCACTTAGAGTTAGTTTTTAAACATGATTTTAGGTAACAATCCCATTCCATTCGATTGCATGTAGAGATGCAATTTCCCCAACAACATTTGTTGAAAATACTGTCCTTTCCCCATTGAAGTCTCAACACCCTTGTTGAAAATAATTTAACCACATATTTGAGAATTTATTTCTGGGCTCTCTGTTCTATTCCATTGGTCCATATGTCTGTTGTTATGCCAAGAGATGTAGATTGGCTCTTTGTCCCCTCCCAATCTCATTGAAATTTAATCTCCAGTGTTGGAGGTGGGGCCTACTGGAAGTTGACTGGATCACAGGGGTGGATTCCTCATGAATGGTTTGGTGCCATCCTTTTGGTAATGAGTGAATTCTCACTCTGAGTTCACATGAGACCTAGCTGTTTAAAAGAGTGTGGCACTTGCCCCCACTCTCACGCCCCTGCTCACCATGTGAGATGCCAGTTACCCTTTTGCCTTCTGCCATGATTGACAGCTTCCTGAGGCCTCGCCAGAAACCAAGTAGAGGCCAGCACCATGCTTCCTATACAGCCCATGAAACATGAGTCAATTAAAACTCTTTTCCTTATAAAATACCCAGCCTCAGGTATTTCTTTATGTGTATAATAGCAACACAAAACAAGGGCTAACACACCAGTGCCACACTGTTTGGATTACTGTGGCTTTGCACTAAATTTTGAAATCAGGAAGTGTGAGTTCACTGCTTTATTATTCCATATTGAGGACTGTACTGATTATTTGGATATCTGAATATTCTATATGAATTTTAGGATGGGTTTGTCTATTTATGCAAAAAATCTTTGGGATTTTGATAAGGACTGCATTAATCTGCATATATTGTTTTAGACATTATAGACATCTTAACAATATTGTCTCTCAATCCATGTACATGAAATATCTTTTCATTAATTGTAACTTTTATTTTTTTCAGAAATGCTTTGTATCTTTTAGAATGCAAGACTTTTATATCTTCAGATAAGTAAATTCTTAAATATTTTATTCCTTTTGGTGCTTTTATAAATAGAACTATTTTCTTAATTTCTATTTTTGCATTGTTTTTAGTGTGTCAAAATGTAACTAATTTTTGTGTATTGACTTTGTATTCTGCCACTTTGCTTATTTTTTAAATTAGTTCTAGCAAACCTTTTGGAAATCTTTAGAATGTTCTAAGTATAAGACAATGTCATCTATAAACAGAAGTAATTTTACCTCTTTTGTCTAGTTTCCATGGATTTTATTTCTTTTTCTTGGGTAATTTCCTTGATTCGAAATTCCAGTGCTATTTTGAATAAAATTGGCAAAAAGTGAGCATCCTATAATTTTTCCTATCTTCAAGGAAAATTTTTCAGTAATTTCACCTTTAAGAATGATGTGTGCTCTGGGTTTCTCATGGGTGGCTTAGATTACATTGAAATAGTTTCCTTTTATTCCTAGTTTGTTGAGAATTTTCCTCATGAAAGGATATTAATTTTTGTTAAATGCTCTTTTTCTGTATCAATCGTGATGATCAGGTAATTTTTATCCTTCATTCTGTTAATGTGGTGCATGACATGATTGATTTTTATGTGTTAAACCATCCTAGCACAGGAATAATCCCAGTGGGTCATGGTGTATAATCTCTTAAATATGTTGCTAAATTCAGTTTGTTAGTATTTTGTTGAGGATTTTTGTATCAGTGTTAATACAGTTAAGATGTTGTACTCTCTAAATTTCATACTGAATATCAATCCCCAATTTTGGAAGTGGGGCATGGTGAGAGGTGATTAGATTACAGGGGCAGATTTCTCATGTATTATTTAGTGTCAAATCCTTGCTGCTGTCCTCATGACAGTGAGTTCTTGCAAGATCTGGCTATTTAAATATGTGTGGCATCATACCCCTAACTCTCTTGCTTCCACTCTTACCATGTGATTCACTGGCTCTCTGTATTTGTTTGTTCTTACATGCTATTAAGAAATACCTGAGACTGGATGATTTATAAAGAAAAGAGATTTAATTGTCTTACAGTTTTATAGACTGTACAGAAAGTATACTGGCTTCTACTTTTGGAGATGCCTCAGGAAGCTTACAATTCTGGCAGATGGCAAAGAGGAAGTAGATATGTCTTATGCAGCTGCAGAATGAGGGAACGTGGTGAGGTACCACACGCTTTTAAACCATCAGATATCATGAGAACTCACTCACTATCACAAAACAGCATGGAAAGGAGAATCCACCCTCTTGATCCAATCACCTCAAATCAGGCATCAGCTCCAGCACTGGGGATTACAATTTCAAATGAGATTTGGGCAGAGACACAGAGCCAAGCCATATTATTCAGCCCCTGGCACCTTCCAAATCTCATGTTTCTCTTACATTTCAAAATACAATCTTACCTTCTTAAGAGTCCCCAGGGTCTTAACTCACTCCAGTATTAACTTGAAGTCTTATCCAAGACAAAGGGAGTTCCTTTTGCATATGAGCTTGCAAAATCAAAAACAAGTTAGTTACTTCCAAGGTACAATGTGGGTATAGGCATTGGGTAAATATTCCCTTTCCAAAATGGAGAAATTGGCCAAAAGAAAGAGGCTATATGCTCTGCGCAAACCTGAAACCCAGAAAAGCAGATATTAAATCTTAAAGCTCCAAAATAATCTTCTTTGATTCCCTGTCTCAATCCAGGTCACATGCAAAAGGAGGGCTCCCAAAGCATTGGGAAGCTCTGCTTCTGTGGTTTTCTAGGGTTTCACACCCATAGCTGCTCTCATGGGCTGGTGTTGCATGCCTGTGGCTCTTCCAGGTTGAGGGTGAAAGTTACTGGTAGATCTACCATTCTGGGGTCTAAAGAATGGTGACCCTCTTCTCACAGCTCCACTGGACAGTGTTCCAGTGGGGATTCTGTGTGGGGACTCCAACATCACATTTTTCTTCCACACTGCCCTAATAGAGGTTCTCCATGAGGGCTCTGCCTCTGCAGCAGCCTTCTGCCTGGACATCAAGACTTTTCCACACATTCTCTGAAATCTAGGCGGAGGCTTTCAAGACTCAAGTTTGCCATTTTGTGTACCCACAGGCTTAACACCACTTGGAAGCCACCAAGACTTACAGTTTGCATCCTCTGAAGCAGTGGCCTGGGCTGTACCTGAGCCTTGTTGAGCCATGGCTAGTGGTAAAGTGACTGGGATGCAGAGAGCAGTGTCTCAAGGTTGCACAGATCAGCAGGGCCCCTGGCTTGGCTCTCAAAGCCATTCAGACCTCCTAAGCCTCCAGGCCTGTGAGGGGAAGTACTGCCATGGAGGTCTCTGAAATGCTTTCAAGGCTGCCCCATTGTCTTGGCTATTGGTAATTGGCTCCTTGCTATTTATGCAAATTTATGCAGCCTGTTCAAATTCCTCACTGGCAAATGGCTTTTCTTTTCTATCAAATGGCTAGGCTGAAAATTTCTGGTTAGGGCTGGAGCAGAATGGGATGTGTGAAGGAGTGTTCCAAGGCTGCACAGGGCAGTGGGGCCCTGGGCTTGTCCCATGAAACCATTTAGTCCTCCTAGGCCTCTGAGCTTGCTTTGGGAGTGGATGCCACAAATGTCTCTGAAATGCCTTGGAGGCTCCTTCCCCATTGTCTTGGCTATTAATAATTGGCCCCTCTTTACTTATGTAAATTTCTGCATCCTGCTTGAAATCCTTCCTGTCAAATGGTCTTTTCTTTTCTATCACATGGCCAGGCTGCAAATTTTCTAATCATTTACATTCTGTTTTTCTTTTAAATATAAGTTACAGTTTCAGGTCATTGTTTGCTCACACATATGAACAAAGGCTTTTAGAAGCAGGCTGGCAACATTTCAAATGCTTTGCTCCTTTGAAATTTCTCCTGTGAGATACCCTAATGAATTACTCTTAAGTTCAAAGTTCCACAGATCCATATGACAGAGGAACAATGCCTCCACGTTCTTTGTTAATGCCTAACAAAAGTGCTTTTTGTATTAGTCTGTTCTTATGCTTCAGAAATTCTGTGGCTGAGTTTCCAAGAAGTTCAAGTTGATATGGTCTATGGTGTCTTCTAATTTATACCTCTGTGGGCTGAACCCATTAGCGTCTGGCTAAGAGGCCAGAGGACTCATGTCTTCTTCCCTTCTTTTCTTCTTATATGAATGCTTTCTTTGTTTTAGTTTTCAAACTTCTCAAAACAGAAGTTTTCTCTTAAACCTGGAGAAAAATCTTGGTGTCCTATGGCAATTTAAGAAACAATTTCCCTTTTGCAATTATGAACATTCAGTGAACAATAGAGTAGTATGTGTTTATAATTGTCATTGCCATTGCATAATGATCTACCTAAGATCACAATGTATAGGGATTGCTAGATATTGATAGGGTTTAGTCATTTCTGAGTTAAAGGACATCATGTCGTCTCATAACACCATAAATTTTCACTCTACTTCCAATAGAATCTTCCACCCTAATGCATACACACTAACACAATGGGAGTCCAAAGGTTCCAGGTTTTCACTGAGCTTATAACCCACTCGTAAGATGCTTTTTTCCTTTCTTCCGCCATAGCTTTATGAGGGAGTCAACAATAGACAAGACTCCAGTCACTGCAATGTAATGTACACACACACCTTGAAGCTCTGTATCACAGGAATAAAAATAATGTTCTATATGTCACAAAAAAGTAACCTAAACCAATATTAAATAGTTAATTTAGATTGATAAAAATCTTAAAACTCTAAGTAGTCATAAAGTTAGCTGATTTCTAGAGTGTTACATAAAATGGAAACCTTTATGCTCCTATATATTCTCCATGGCAGTCAGCCAGACAGAGCCTTTGGAAGACAGAAAACTCATCCTGGAGCCATTGAAGTTTATTCCTGCCCATTCTGAAAAATTGGCTGATATTGATAATTGTTGTAAAAAGTTTACCCCATGAGTCTCACAGGCTGCCAAGAATGTAATAAGGCTGAAATAGAAGGCTGGTAAAAAGCTTGCATCTGGTTCTGAGTCAAGGAGCCCTCACTCATTGACTAGCATCAAGGGAAACTTCTTTCATTTAGGGAAAACAGACGGAACAATTTGACTATAATAGAGTTCATTTTAAGGAACTGTCCCAGCTTGTCCCAATGATGGCAAGTTGAATAGGTTCTCAAATAAATAACAGAAACTAGTAGAAGTTGAGCTTACTAACCCTGGCCCAAATAAATCAAATCAGATTAATGTTTATTAGGCATCTACTATGTATGAGGCATGATCCCATTCATGATTTTACCAAAATATTATAATTCTAGTTTTATCCCCTTTTTCTCGTAAATAATGATAACAAAATACAATAAGTTATAATAATTAGGAAACGTTTCAGAACACTTTTAGGTCACATTTTCAATTATTATATTGATATATGGTTTTAGTGAAAGTCATGGCATTTACATGCATTCTTAAAGTGGAAACTTGGCATATTCTACTATCTGTAGGGGCTACAACTAACTTCCTGGATAGCTTCCAAATCTCCTTGTATGGCCTGCTCAGAATTCTAAAAGGCAAATACGCGCCTTTTATAAATTTGGTCGAGCATTTTGAATCTCTTAGATTTTCAATTCTACAATGATTGCTAAAAAGGAGAATCCAAATATCTCTGTACTCTGAAGCCACTGCAATACTGCGCAAACAAAATTCCACAAGCATTTATTGTTTCAATATCTTAGGCACTAACTAGTCTATATACTTGAAACAAAGCAATAAATAGCACATTCTTCACCCAGTAAAGATGCACACAGTAGAATGGGGCAGGTAGGCAAGTAAAACTATTTCAGTACAAAGAGGAGTGCTGTAGTTAAGAGTAAAGACTTGTATTGTTCAATAAAAGTAGCAATTAGGCACATGTGCTCTAGAATGCTAGTCTGAATCAAGATCTGCTTTAAGTGTAAAATATACCCTGGATTTGAAACTTGGTATGAAAAAAAATTTTTTAGATCTAATTTTTTTATATGGATCATATGTTGAAATGATATTTAGAATAAAATAACTGTCGAATAAATTTTACCTTTTTTTTTTTTTTTTTGATTTGGTAAAATATCTACCTGAGAATTTTTTTTTTAATTGCATTGCATTTTTAGTTCATATTAGATTTCTAATGAACAGCCCTGGCACAGACCTCTTCAAAATTTGTTCTATCATTAGCTATGAGACATAGGGTAAGTGACTTAATTTTCTTTGCCTTATATTCTACATGGATAAAATAGGACTGATGATAATTATGGTTGTTTACTGAAAAGGATTGTCAGGATGAGTAAATGATTTAAAACACATAAAGAGTTATTATTATTAAAGAAGTAAGCAGAGAGCATGTAGGCACCTAGAACATTGCAAAACACAGGCCAGGAGAATTAATCACAAGGAATGCTTTTTTATTTTTTTAATTTTATGGTTTAACAAAGCCTTGAAAAAATGTCAGGAAGCTTTCCTGGTGTCATCAGACAGGGCGAGTAGTCCAAGAATAAAGAACGGTATACGTAATGTCACCAAAACTTGAAAGAATCCTGGTCTGACTGGGTGGAGTGGCTCACACCTATAATCCCAACAATTTGGGAGGCTGAGGAGGTTGGATCACTTGAGCTCAGGAGCCTGAAAGCAGCCTCGGCAACAGCATGAGACCTTGTCTCTACTAAAACGAAATAAAGCAAACCAACAAAAAAAGACTAGTCTGGCATGGTGGTACACACCTGTGGTCCCAGCTACTCAGGAGGCTGACGTAAGAGGATTGCTTGAGTCAGGGAGGTAGAGGCTGCAGTGCCTGTGATCATGCCACTGTGCTCCAGCCTGTGTGACAGTGTGAGGCCTTGTCA